TCTTCCTATGCTGCTACCAGTAGTATGTCTCGACATAGCATAACTACATTGGTCTTTCTTTGCAAGAAGGCATCTGTCGGTTGTTAATATGTAGGTAGATGTATCGATGGTGATAACATGGTGCCTCTTCTCTGGATGACGATGACTGAGGAGCTGTGAACTGGTCTGGAAACCAGCCGCCTTGTGAGAAACTGTTGTGCTACACCGCTATTCCTATTTTGTTGATAAACATGACTTCCTGTGAACCTGTGTACGGTCGAGCGTTAACTTTGCATTCGCAAAAAAGAAGCTCGTTGTGCCAAACCAACAGCCCAGCTGCATATGCGATGACACCAGAACAGTTTCATGGCATGGCCGCTTCGCGTTGCCTGTTCCGGGTTTGGTTCCAGCACGGGTTGCCACGCCACGAGCCCACGACTGGTTGGCGCCCGTAGCTCGGTCTGGTATTCTTATCTGAACAGGTTCGACAGTTCTTCACCTCACCTAGAGAGCATGACGGTGTAAAGATGAGTAGATGACATTGCCTGCAAAGAGTCATAGAGAAATTGGCCAGTTGCCCTTAGAACGAAGAATCATAGAGCAAAAGCTTATCACCATTCCCATCATCATTACGCGGTTGAGAGGCTTGAAGCAAATTGAGTATATATTGCCAGTGTCACTTACTTCCAACCGAAAAGGGCAGTAACTTACAGGAGCATTGTGCCAAAACAGCTTACATTCGTAAACCTAGGAGAGATCCAAAGCATAAGAACTCACCAAACCCAGTTAAAATCTTAGCTGTTCCATGCCAGTCACTAGGAACGATCTCTAGTTCCATCCATATAATTTGAAGTGTTGTAAGCAGACAACTAAACCCTGGATTTTTTATGGCTTCCTGAACTTCAGCTAAAATGTTTCAGAAACCTGACTTCTCATGTCTAATGAGGGACCCTAATATCAACTATAGTTGGGACTTGGTGCAATTTCATATACAGAAAGCCAACTTCATGGTCGTAAGTATCAGAATTCAGTGAATGATCAAAATCACAATGCAATAAATACATTTACAGAACATTGTCCAGGGTTGTCCATATCAACAACAGTTTCCACATATCTACGACTTACCAAATCATTCAGCTATACAAATATTTTAAGAAGAAACAGACAAGAGGTGGTGACTATTGATTGCTTGAGATTGGGTTGCAACCTTTCAGGTTTCAGCATCTAGTTATACATAAACATCAGAACCGTGGAGATCATGCAGCTAAACTACAATTTAGCTAAGTATTGATCCTGCATGCCGACTAGTCTGATTCTCTAACTACCTAATCAGTTTATTACAACATAGCAACTGAATCTTTCAATAGCTAAAACGATTAGGAGTTCCTGATGATCTTCACTGCTTCATTGACGCTTCTGATGTCACTCATTAAAGCAATTTGATGCAGCAGTTGTGCTATCCTCTGCAGAAGGAAAAGCAAGAATCCAATGAGTTCTGGAATATCAATCATCACGTGAACATTTATTGGTCTAATGCACTTCTATGCTTCCTTAATCTGGATATTGCTCGGTGGTAAACCAGTAACAGGTAAAGATTATAGTCTGTGGAGAATACCAAATAGTTTGGCACAATCACCTCAACCCTTAGGATCCAGCACAACAATTTTTAAGAGTTAAAAAAACAAACATTGGCAAGAATCCACCAAAACTAAATATGATACAGTAGAACTTAAGTCTGCTAATCAGTCGAACACTCAACAATATATGTGTTCTAGAATATGAGAACAATGTCTGTCTTCAAACATTTTGTGAAATAGAATGTGATTTAATTGCAAATTAATTTGAAGGAGAGAAGGAGCTTGATTAAATTTTGTTCAAGGGCTGCTGGTGCTAGAGTTGGAAAAAAGGAAAGCCATTAAATAAACAAGACAAACTCAAGTGGAATTTTGTTTCTCCAACAAAGAATCAAGTGGAATTATTTGAAGGTAGTGAGATATTGGAAGACAGAGGACTGAAGTGTTCAAGGGCTGCTGTTTGGCATTTGCCTCCCTGAACCCAATCTTAACAAGAATATCAGAATATAACCCAACATCAAGAAGAGAACTGAAGTGTCAAAGTGATGGATTGACCATACGTCTAACAGACCAAGTATCAAATTAAGTTATCAGCATTCAATCCCCATTATCTACACATGCCAACTGATATATTAGCAACATTGCTAAGGCATTGTTTTACTCTTGTTTCACAAATCCATAAACATTCCCCCTTAGTTTTGAATTTGATCCAACATTAAAACCTTAATTTTTTTTAGAAGGGACGGCAAAAGCTTTGCCCCAATTTTTATTAGACGGAGAAAATAAGTGATTGTGCATTTCACTAAACATACTGGCCACATGTCAATGCAGATGATGCCATTTACCAACCAAACACCTTCCATATGATCAATTTAAATTCCCCGCAAACCAAATGGTGCAAGATCACACTAATAACATGTTCTGAATTTCACATCGATATTGAACTTCAGATAAATATCTTTGCTTGTTCTAAGCCTAAAGGAAATCAATGGCATCTCTCTGGAAGCCCAATAACCACTAGTTTCCATGTCACCATACTGTTCGTCCCAGTGGATCCTCCATGACAGAAACTAGCTAATTAACTACCAGTAGAATTCGCATACACATCGCTTTGTCATCACGATTAAGTGGCTACAGAGAGATCCAAACCTTATCCTTCTCCTTGGAGAGAAGCACGAGCAGGTCCCGCTCCCTCCTATCCCACCGACGGGCGTACAGAAGCGCCCCCACCACAGCGGCCGCCGCTGCAGCCGACCACACGGCGGGCCTCACCGCCGGGCACCCACATGCGCCGTGGACGAGCACCCGCTCCTGGACGGTCCCGACCCCGGCCGCCCAAGCGCGCCTCGCCGCCAAGCGGCACCTCTCCCACCTCCACCCCCACCCCCACAGCCACTCATCGTCCTCCACACCCTCCTCCTCTTCCTCCGCCTCCTTCGCCGCCGCTGGCAGCAGCGGCACCTCCTCGGGCTCGCCGTCCAGGCCCAGCCCCTCGTGCAGCCGCGGCGGGAAGATGGCGCAGTCATCAAGCCCGCCGTCCACGTGGGCGACTGGTGGGTCAGTGGGGGTGACGACCTCCCAGGCATCGGTGCCGGGGGCGGGCGGCGAAGAGGAGGCCATGGAGGTGAGGGAGGAGGACGAGAGGGAGAGGGTCAGCGTCTTGGGCTTGACGAAGAGCAGGTTCGGGGAGGGCAGGAGGAGCGGGTGTAGCTCGGAGTACGGCGAGGCCGGGGTCAACGACGACGCCACCGAGATCGGTGGGGACTGCGGGTCCAGCGGCGCCGGCGCTAGCCCCTGGTGGCCCATGGCTGCGGGCCTGCGGCCGCGGGCGCTGCTGTAGATTTTCTTAAGCTAATGCTGATGAGACGAGAGAGATGAGAGCTGGGCTCCCATACAAGCACCTAGGCACGTAAACATAGGTGCTAGTGAGTCAAATAGCAAATGTTGTGGAGAGAAATAGAAGAGTAAAACTTTTTAAAGATAAATAAACGATACTATTGTATAATTTGGCTCTTATATCTTATCTTGTACACAAACAACTTGGCTCTTGTATCTTGCTCTCCCTGGAGTTGATTTTTCGCTCGGCAGTTTGGAGGTGGGGTCCTCGCTGATCTGGATTGGAGGGAGGATCCTCCGAGCGTGCCTGTCTGCGAGCTTGCGATTCGGGACTTCTTTCAGTACCTGAGGAGGAGTTGCGTGAATGCTGAGGGCCTGTTTGGTTACTACATTTTTTTTCTATATTAAAATTAAATTGATTCTTTGTAAAATTTATATGTGGTTCTACAAAAATCTTGCGTTCCAAACAGGTCCGAATGGTGTGGTCATGTGGATGTGAAGTGCAGAGACTGAAATGTGATCTTGTTTTATGTGTAGGTTTTAGTATTCCACTTCGATTTTACCTGGAGACTTGGTAAATTAAGTATGGTGTTCTATACATGTGTTTGCTGTTTATTTGTCTTGTTTTCCTTTTTTTTTAGTTCCATCTATAGAAGACAAACCACCGCATTTGCAGTTTTGCATTAATAAAACAACGATAGAGGTTTTGAGTTCAATACCACGTTCTGGGTGTAGAGATGCACCATTTTTTGGAAAGCAATCTAGCAAGAGCCAGATTATAAATAATTGGCTAACTTGCATGAGTTTTTTTTTTTTAGAAATTTTGCTACACTATGCATTAGGCTGACGGGTCTCTAACTCCAATAGCATCAGCCTTCTTGGGAATAAAGATGATGTTTGATGTGTTAAGATCAATGCTGTCTGGGTTGAAAAGTTGATTAAAGGCCGTTGTGAGATCATCGTCGACAAGAATCCCAACAGTCCCTATTAACCATCATCCTTACTTGCACTGCAAGAATTTTGCTAGACAAGCAGCACAGCAATAGACGTGCAGAAACTTCAAGCTTCGACGAGAGTGGCACAGCAGACTTCACGGCCGCAAACGACGGCGTGCAATGACAGACAGGGCAGAATAGAGTAAGGGCGCGTTTGGATGAAATTTTTTTTGGGTTTTGGCTACTGTAGCACTTTTCGTTTGTATTTGACAGTTAATGTCTAATTATGGACTAATTAGGTTCGAAAGTTTCGTCTCACGATTTCTCACCTAACTGTGCAATTAGCTTTTTTTCGTCTATATTTAGTACTCCATGTGCCGTAAGATTCGATGTGATAGGTATTGCGCAAAAAAATTTGAGAACTAAAGAGGCCCTAACTGCATCCGATCGGTATGCAGGAGTAGCAACACTACCGCGCTACATATGCACATGGTTTTCTGTTGCACTGCGCATGATGACTTGGCAAAGCCTACTACTTGTTCTGCTAAGCCTGAAGATTAGAGTACATCTGCTGATGCGTATATTAACAAAATGGATCAGGAGATCCTAGCATCAGCGAGGTTCTCTTATGGTTTAACCTTAATGAAATCTCCATCCACACAGGGATTAGTTAGCTTCAGAAGAACTGCTGAAGCCAAGGATTGTCAGCCGCATCTTTCTGCAAATCATCTCTCATTTTGGTGACCATCTCCACGATCTTGCTCCTATCCATCTCATCCATAGGCAATGCGGCGAGATCCTCAAGGTAAAGCCGAGCCCGAGCAGCTCCTCTGGTGACGTCATCTGGGCTAAATACCCTCTTGCGCTTTGATCCAACCTGCACAGAACACTCGCTAGCTTAGAAAGAGGTTTGAGTTTCAGCACAGTATGGGTAAGAAAGATACCCTCTGCACCGAAGCTCCCATGAACTGTGCAGCAGATAAAAGTAATTTTTACCATAATTGCATGTATGGCCATAAAAACTCCAAAAATATACTACTGTCAATTTTGTTGTGTTATGAATCCAATATTCATCTTCTTTATGATAAGATCGCTCACATGGGAGGAAGCATATGCATTTTAATTCATATCAGAACCCATAGCATTGAGCTCGAAATTTTTAGCTGCATATACCTCGTCTTTCGAATCATCAGAAAAGGTAGGTGTAGTAGAGAAGTCTTCTAACTCTGCTGCTTTACTTTTTGCAAGGGCAACAACAGCTTCTGGAAAATTGGCAAATTCTGCAACATGGATACCAAAACTTTGGTCGCAAGCACCAGGTTCAACCTACAACACAAACAGGGAAATATTGTAATAGAAGATCTGGAGGCATCATTTGGCAAACCAATAATGCCAACTTGTTTCTGTAACTATAAATGTGGATAAGAATTTCACATCATGACATACCTTGTAAAGCATAGTTAACTTCCGACTTGATGGGTCTATGTGAGCACCCACATGATAATTTGCAATTCCGATATTTGAAACACGTTGGTGCTCATCATCATTTTTATGTGCTAATGCAGTTAATTCGTGGAAATGGGTGGCAAACAAGGTAGGTGCTCGAGTCACTTCCATAAGATGCTCACAGATAGCCCATGCAAGACCTGATAACAAATAATATATCAATCTCAAATGAGAGTTAGAGGTTCAATCTCAAATGAGAATTAAAAGTTCCAGTTGTCTGAAGTCAGTGCATTGCAGCAGGTAACCAAGGTTGTAAAAAGGGGTACTCAATTAGAAATGGTAATTGCTAGTTTCATCCAGTGATGCGTATAATAAGTAGATTTGCATGTTTATAATGACAGCAAAAATGGATAAATGCAACAAACTAAAACTACTTTTGGTTGATTGAAGCATGAGATTGCATGCCACACCACACGAGGCCCAAATGATGTTGGTGTTCAGTACATGTGTATAGCTAATTTGGTTAACATAATCTGGGATTAACAAAGTTAGCCCACTTGGTCCAACTCTCTTGTATAGACCCAATTAGAATAAAGGTTGTAGATCATGATCAAATAATCCAAAAAATGTCCACAGGTTTGGTATGACAGACAAGTGGAACTTGGCTTTCGGTATGAAGGCAACCATAAGACACCATTCTAGCATTCTGTATTACAGGCAATAGGAGATTTGAGATGCCAATAAATGTGAATGTAGCAAGATTCATGCTATGCATGCAGAGGTAGTTACCAACGAATGATTACACTAAGAATTGTCGGCATGGTTGCATGCAGCAGGTTGTTAACTGCATCCAAAATCAACAATAGCATGACTAGACATAGAGGGAAGCAAGCAAATACACAAAATACAGTTTTGCCCAAAAACTATTTGTTTCTTTTTATCTATACAGAAGCTCCATTCCATGCAATGCGCCATTCACTGATGATTAACTTCAAATTGCAGCACTGTTACATAACCAAAAAGCATGGTTATTAAGGAGGTAAGGCGAGGCGTGGCGAGTGACTACCGCCTTACGCTTAGGCGACTAAAGCGTGAGGCGAGGCGACGCCTTAGTGCCTTACGAATTTAAGAAAAACTTAAAACAGCAGCTTAGAGCAGTAGATGATGAAGAAAAAAGAAAAGGAAAAAAGAAAGGAGGAGTAAGAAGTGGGCTAGCCCAGCCCACCAGGCGGCCCATGTGCCCCTCCCCCTCCTGGCGTGGCTTATCCCAATCCCCTCCAGCGCTGCTCCTCTCTTGTTCTCCAGTTCTCCGTCACTCGTTCCGCCTCCGCTCGTCTCTCCGCGGTTCCGCTTCCCTCCGCGGCTCCTCCCCTCTCTCTCCGGTGCACTGCTCTGCTCTCCTCCCTCGCTGCTCCCCATCCAGATCTACAGCCGCCGCCATCCCCTTCCAGATCGAGCAGACGGCGGCGAGGAGATGGCGGAATCGAGGGGGCGTCACCATGCGCATAAGGCGACAAGGCGGCGCCTTACCCATAAGGCGAGCCTGGAGCGCCCCGACGCTTAAGCGTCGCTTAAGCGACGCCTTAATAACACTGCCAAAAAGAAACACCGACGATGTATGCTCCTTTGTTCTAGGTTTTAATTCAAAACAATTTAAAAGGAATACAGAATTTTATTTTCCCAGATCAGGCTGGTGGGTCTGATTAACAGCAGCAACCAGCCAATTACTTCCGGTAAATGGAACATTTATCAGCAAGTGCAAGGGTACAGGGAATTACTTGTTTTTTTGGTCCAAGAGATGTATCTAACCAGGTAAAAAGTGTAATATATGCAATGCTAGTAGAATGAGCTTAGAAGTATGCAAATTTCCAGCTTCAATTCTAATACCAACACTATTTAAAAGTCAATAATTCAATATCGCCTAGAAGTAATACAGATAGTAGTCTATGAACGCTAAAAAGAAACAAAAGGAAAGATGATTAACAAACTTGTAAGAGAAAAAACAAGAAAAGGTATACAGCACTGACCAAATCCATCATACGTGGAAGTTCCACGTCCCAGCTCATCAATAATTATAAGAGACTTATCAGAAGCGCCTTTTAGGATGGATGCTGTTTCAAGCATTTCTTGCATAAAAGTTGATACACCATGAAGCTGCCAAATAAATGTAAACAAAACAGTTTACGACATCATTCTTTGCAGAAGTATATAAATTTAATGCTTGCTTAAAAGTAACAGAAAGTTTCATCTTACTATGAGAAAAGACCCTGCCATCATTATCCGTTAAATTTAAAAAGAAGGGTTTTGTTATTGGATCCTTTGGGCTGTGGGATTAACATGTAATGTGTGTTTTGAACTCTTTCCTCGGCTAATTGAAAGGCAGAGCTCCTGCCATTTTTGTTAAAAAAAATGAAAAATTACACACATGAGGAGATACTGGCTTGAACCTCTTCCTAAGGAGCTGTAGAGAGAGGGGTGACCTGTTGTTCTGATCCTTATGTAACTGAGTTTGTATGAGTTGAGTGTGTTGACCACTTGGCCTTGGGGGGGTGGGGGGTTGAGTCTTGTTTTTGCTGGATTTATCCAGCTTGTGTACTTTGTTAAATAGCCTTGGCTAATATAGCAAATGTGGCATTCATCTGGTTCATGTTCCTTTATCCTGATCATTCGCATCTTTTTTTTTTCTCTCGAACACACGAGGACTGTGCATCATTATATTAAAGGAAGATGAACGCTGCTCGTTTGCATCTTTGATTTGCAAAATTTGTACAAGTATGAGTAGCTAAAGCAAGAGAACACTACACGGTATTTGTTATTGCAACAGAAGTTTAAATAAGAACAAAAGGGCATTTCCAATATAAACTTAAGAACAAAATACTTTGATGATCAAACAAACTTACTTGGCAATCACCAGCACCAACACGAGCAAAAATACAATCCCTCACACTAACACTTGCTTGATCACAAGGTACAAAGGAACCAACTTGCGCCATCAAGACATTTACACCAACCTGATTCCCATATGAAAATTAATTGAGACAAGCTGATAAATGAAGGAATGTAAGCAACAAAAGGTATTATTAGTTGTTTCAAATAATATGTTTGAAAAAATATACTAAATTCAGTAGCCAACGTCCAAGAATTAGAAGATGGAGCTAGAACATGAACTTCACACAGTATGTTTAACATGTCCAAATGCACTCCAATTGAATCAAACTGGTTTGCTTTCAGTTTTTCCAAACACATTGATCAAGGAGTTACAGAACAATGCTCAAACTCTTTACTGGATTCTTGGGATAACAGACCTCGTTTACCATCAGCTTTTCAAAGAGTATATCAAGAGTCACATATACATGCTCATACAACTGACTTTGTTCCAGCAACATTTTGGGTCCTAACAAAACCCTTCTTTAGCAATCGTGAAGAATCTAATTTCTGGGCAATCCATCTGCTTGTGTGAAGTTCTTGGATCAAATATGTATGTATACAACTACTCAATAAATCACCCCACACTATCTAGAAAACAGAAAAACATATCACGGAAGGCATCGAGTACACAAACTCTTTTTTTTTGCTTTGAAAATACACAAACTCTTTACTATAATACTATTGCATTGTAATGCTTGCATTATGCATATAGGGTGGTAGTGGTGAAATACTTTTTTTTTCTTGAACACGCAGGAGAGCTGCGTATCATTGTATTAATTGCAGGAGAAAAGAGCCATACATAGACCCGAACACACACACACACACACAGACAACTTGTAGTTCAATATATATGGGTATAAGAATGGAACAGCACATAAGATGTGGATCCAAGTGTAGCAAAAAATTTACATATTTACACATTTAAGTGCACATATGTTTAAGTATGTATTTTTGTAGTGGAAGTGGAGATGGAGAGCTCTACTAAATTTAGTAAACAACTATAAGTGAAATTTTCCATAACTGAAAATAAATGCTAATTATTCACACTCATATGCATGAGTCATTGATCATACTCCCTCTATAGCAAAATATAAGGAACACACATATTTCAAAACTCAAACTTTGTCGTCTTTGACAAACAATTGGTCTAATCATATGAAAGTTTGTGCTACAAAAGTGGTTGCATTAGGTTTGTATTTAGAAATACTTTCTAATGGTCAAACTTTGGTTGCCACAAATGTTATATTACAAGAGGAATAGTGGTCATATACTCCCTCTGTATGTAAATGTATTATGTTTTGGACATAGGCATGGCCACCTGTGAAACTTTGACCAAAGCTTTTTATACAGATATGACAAAAAAATTATATATATATTATGAAAATTATTTACACAACAAAATTGACAGTGCTTCCGCATTATCAATACAAATAGCTTTACTCAAAATCAGTGGTCCCTAGAGAAGTTTGAATGAACGCATTCTAGGACGTTATATGTTAATAAAGAGAGGTAATACATATAGTACCAGAAAGATCATCTTTCCTATACATAAATCCATGACATTTCAGAAGGTTGTTAGGCTTCAAACTGCTTTTCTTTCTTTTCTTTTGATAAGAAATTGCCACCTCCATGTCTTTGGATAAAATGCACATAAATAAATTCCTTGAGTGGTTCATCAAAAAAAATACCATGAAAGTGCAAATCTAACCTGTCTTATAAATGTGGATTTTCCTCCCATGTTTGGCCCAGTGATGATCTGAAACCAACTTTTCCCTCTCACCTATTTAGGGCCATCGAACCGTCACTAACTTCAGTAATTAAGTGCTGCAATTGCAAATATCATATTACAGGGAACTTACAAGAGTGCAATCATTGGGTATAAAGTTAACACCATCTTGTGCCTCTAGACAAGGATGTCTGCTACCTAGTAGAACAATATCTCCTTCATCCTGCAATGTGTTCTCAAGTTTAGAGCAGCGTTGAAATTTGTCATTTTAAAGGAGTTTTAGGAAGTATTTCTTACCGACGCTGTGATGTCTGGCCTAACATAAGGAACTGGGCAACTAGTTGCTAAATCAGCAAAACTTTGTAAAACATCCAACTCCGACAGAACTGCAGCAAAGTTTTCAAATACCTACACCAAGAATTGAAGATTTATCCAAATCTGTATAGAGAAAAAATAAACTATGAAGCTAAGATAATTATCTTAGTGTACCTCTGAGTAGGAGCCTGAAACCCTCACTACATCATCAACCACCTTTTCTGACAACTTGTGTACTCACCAAACAGTGCCTGGTATTGATCACTTAGCTTTTTCAGCTTAGAACTTGTGAACTTTACACCATCTTTACGAGTTTCTATGATTAAGTAGCTGCCAGTGAGCTTCTTCCTGACTTTCTGCTCCTCTTTCTTTGACATTCTGAACACATGTCCAAGAGGTCCTTTTCTAGCTTCAGTTGCTTATCAACAGAAAGATCCAGATCACTAGCTGTATCCACGTGCAGATTATTTATGTGATTTTCAACCACAGAAAGCTCATCCTTTAGTACACCCAAGTCAGAAGAATATAGGGAGATATTCTGTACTCTCCATTCTCCAGCTGATCAAGATCGATAGCTGTCTCGACAAGAGAAGAAAACCGACCAAACCGATCCTCTGTCATCCATTCTTCTAATGGTTCAAGAAACTTTGACCTTATCAATGTGGAAAATTGGCCATTATATTGCTCAAGAATGCCCTTGATGTATGAGATTCTGCTACAGGACTGCAAAACCAATAAGTAAATGGGTTAAAAAATTGTGGTAAAAGGTATGCATCTTAGGAGGTGTTGCCCTTGTTTAAGAAACCTAATTCTACTCTGTTTCCTGTTTCCTCAAATACACAGAAATAAGCATTCCTTGTGATTCAAAATGTAGGTCTAGGACAACAACAGTCTCCAGCATAACACTTTGACTGTTACACATTATGAAAGTATTTTCCATGATTATTCCAGTAACATCAACTATGTGTTGTCAATCCATATAGCTTCCCATATATTGATTGGCCAAGTTATAAAAAAAATTGACCGACTAGGATTCTAAAGGGACCTACATTTGGAATTCAAGGGAGTGCTACAAAGGTTCAGTGCACTCCTTTCATTAAATGTTACTAGCCTTACACTAGCAGCTAGTAACCAATATTACTGTATATTCAAATACATTTCCAGGCAAATAATTATCTTTGCTAAGTCATTAAAATAAGATAACAGTAGGTAGCAGAAGTAACCTGATAAAGCTTAACAACAGGCTGCAGAGTAGATGATTTCTTTCGGAGAGCATGTGTTAGACGACCAATATCTGATATCCTTTTAAGTTGTTGCCTGAGTCCCTGACGAAGCTCCGGGTCTTCTACAAAAGCCTGAACCATGTCCAATCGGTTATTAATTTCATTAACATCTAATAGAGGTTGTTTCAGCCATCTGTTAAGCAATCTTTTTCCCATCCCAACAGTACAGGTTCTGTTCATCAAACCAAACAAACTGAAGTTCTTGTTTACATCAGTTTTCCTTTCTGCAATGTTTAATGCTCGCACTGCAGCAGAATCAAGTCGCATGTAGCAGTTCAAATTGTACTTCTCAATTGTGTAATTTCCATAGTTAGTATCATCTGCTAGCAACTCAGCATAAGATAAAACAGCTCCAAGGGGACCAAGAGCATAGTCAAACTGAGATAGCAGATCACGTACAGGCTCAACAGAACCCCTGATTATTCTACCAAGATCTTGTGCAAGATCCCTGGATTTGAAGTCAACCTTCTTTTTCTCAGTCAACAGAACATTACAATTACTAATGGCGTCTCGAAGGGGATTCAGATCAATGGATTTTTCACAATCCGCTGGGAGAAGACACTCCTTGCAACCTAATGCAACAAGAGCTGATTCAACATTTGTGAATCGGCTATCTTCGGGGAACTCAGCCAACCCAAGCTTCCTATTGGTCATATCCAAAAAACTAAGCCCTACATACAGCTGACTTTCCCGGCACACTGGAAACAAAGCAACAATGACTGGTGAATCTTGCATGTCATTGTTTGCAAACAGAATGTCTTCAAAACTACCAATATTTCCAGGTGTTCCAGACTTTGCTAACCTCCAATTTGACCCACTTCCCTCATAGAGCTCTAATGTACAGTCAGTCCTTTCCAACAAAATGTTGCGGGCAATGGTCTCAAACATAGCCTTGCTCACACTAACACTTGAGAATCCATCAGAACTGCTACCTAATTGACTTAAAGGCAGACATTGTGTGTAGTAGTATGTCCTTGCAATAAGCGTAGCATTCTCGCCATGGGCAGTGTAATAATCCTGAACCACATTTGAGCACTAGTTAGCATGCCATTTTACAGTGGAAGGTTGACACACATAGGAATTAAATTCCCAAAGGAAAAAAAAAAAAACAGCTAGACTTAGCTCTGCCTGGAAGCAGTATCCCTCAACAGTAGTGATTACTATAGTACAAGATAGTTTTGGCATGCATATTCAATGCAGAAAAAGAGTGCCCCATATTAAAATAAGTCTGGAAGAAATGCCATCTTATATCTGCATAAATTTCATGAAATTTCTTTTTTCTAAACATTTATGCCCCCTTCCAAGGAAACAATTTCTCAATTGTCGACCATTTCTTTAAACGCACTTTCAAGCAGGGCACAATCCTATTGGATAAAAATGTGGTCATAGATTATGTAATCCTAAGTACACAGCACTGCTCCCAAATGCCAAACAGTTCCCTAGTTTGCTACCTCATTATTACCAGCTTTAAGTTATTGAGGACTTTGAATTTAACATATAAGCATGACGCCAATATTAGGAATTAAATCCCTAAATTATGGCTGAGAACAGTTCATATGGTACATAGACTGTCAACCAAATTGAGCTAACATCATCATCATTTAATGTATCATCTGCAATCTACATGTTCACTTATCAGGCGAAAATAAAAGGCACACGTGTCCATATTTTCTAACAGTAACAACTGTACCAGAGCCATTTCGCCCCATTTATCTAGTTCATCCAATTGCCCATGATAAAATAAACAAAAAAAGGTTCACATCTACATGTATTGGAATCACTTACCCTGCGATCGAAGAGACGAACGGCCCGGGGATCCTGCCATACCAAAAAGGAAAAACGAAGGGAAATAAATCGGCCAGCAAAAAGGACTCTCCAAAATAGTAGCCCAAAACTGAGGCCCAGAAAGGTGAAATCGAGGGAGCGCACCTGCGGCAGCTTCTTGAAGAAGGAGATGAAACCCTGCGCTTGCCGCGCATCTGTCCAACCACAAGAAAAAATAAGACAAAAGAGGAATGAGTGACCCGACGGATCTAAAGAAACCAAGGACGGTGTGGCGCGCGCGACCGCACGGACCTAGCTTGAACTCGGGGAGCTTGCCGCCCTCCGGAGTGAAGTCGTCGCCCTCCATCGTCCAGCCGTCCGCCGCCCGGTGTGCAGAGGTTGTGATGGTGGCGGTGGTGATGCGGGGTGCGGGCGATGTGCTCGGCGAAATGCGCACGGGTGGCGGGAAAAGGCGGGGTTTAGGGTTTACAAGCGCGCGCGTGGGGTGGGAGATGGGTCTCCCGCCGTCCCGCGGCGAGAAATGGGGCTTTTGCGCGCGGAGTCTCACGGGTTTAGAACGCGGAGTCTCACGGGTTTAGAACGCGGAGTCTCACGGGTTTGGCGCGCGGGGTCGGGGTCGGGGTCGGGGTCGCGGGATCGCGGCCCCTGCGGGGTATATTCGAGGTTCCCTTTCAAAACATTTAATGTTTTATTTAGTTTCAACAAGAATTAATCTCAGTCTCTCTCTATCTACAGCTAAAAATTAAGGAAGAGAATCGTTCACCGGCACTTTCACCTCGCCTCCCTCTTGAAAAGACCGTCCGGTTTCACCTCGCTTCTCCGCCCGATAGGTGGGGCCTGGCGCTCCTACGCCCGTCCCAGCATCCCCTCGTGACAAAACAAAGAGATATTTGGATTCTTGTCATCATAATTTCTCAAGTTTTGAAGAACAACATTACTATTCTTCTTATTAGAAACTTGCTATTACAACTCTTGATACAACACATCCATGCCCTGATCTACGTCTCCCGCGAAGCTAGGCCCACTGGTAGGCGGCATATTCTCGTATAGGACCGTATTGCCCCTGTTCAATTGGATAAGGCAGAGCAGCTGGCGTCCATTCTTCTCCCTTCTCCTTCCTCATTCTCCCGCACGCCATTGCCGTCGTCGCCTGCCTGCCCTTGCGACGTGCCTCTTCTCCCACAGACGTCGGCCTGCCTTCGCCGCCTGCCATTGTCAAGGATGAGTGGCAACCAGTTTAGGCCACCGCCAGCGACTGGCTCCAGCTCGACGCAAAGCGCGTCGTTGTCCCCACTCATGGAGTGCCCGGATTGCCACGTCCAGCTCGTGCGGATCATAAGCAAGCAGCGGGCCACTTATGGCCAAAGCTTCATGAAGTGCACTAACAACATCAAAGTAAGTCAATTTGTGTTCGATTTTGAGTTTTTGGTTGGTGTTCATGTGGCTAGGGTTTCATGGGATGCAGGATGACCCAACAACTTGTGACATCATCATGTCGGAGGCGCAATATGTTGCATACTTACGCAACCCAGAGCAGCTCCCAACTCGGTGGAAGAAGGTGATCCCTCCCAGGTCTGGAGACCGTTAAGGTGGTTCTGTCGAAGGTGGTTCTATCGATCGCATTGTGGACATGAAGCAAGAAGTGGATGCACTGAACAAGAAAATTGACAGTGCCGTGAAGGACGTGTTGGAACTAAAGTTGCAAGTGCAGAGGGTGAAAACGGATTATGTTGTGATAGCGGCATTGTGTGTAGGTGTAGCTTTGGGTTGTATTATGAGCAAGATGTGGAACTAGTCAATTGTATGGAAGTAGTCAATTAGGAAGCATTTTGTAGGCAAGAGGGTGAACAGGAATCTATGTATGCTGCCTGCACTATGTGCATAATTCTAAGGAAACTGAAACATCACAAACTGAAAACTAAATTTACTGACAATAGCATTGCTTTACAAAAGCATTCAAGCTTGTTCAAGTTTACAAGCAGCACAGGCCATTAAGGGCACTCAGAAAAAGCATCCAATTTTCGCTTGTTCAAGTTCACAAGTTTGACAAGCCATTACATAGGTCATCACAGAAGTACTGATCCAGTGCATAGGCCATCTCAGGCAACTAAAAGACATCCAGAAACACTACATAAACCTCCAGGGCATCACCTAGCCAGTGACAAGCCATCACAGGCATTACATTACCAGAGACTACAAAATAAGTTCAAAGGCCATCACAAAAGGCCATCACGGTCTCACTGTCCATCAGAGATGAGGTCCATCGAGCTTCTCACAGCCCTTGGTGGAGGAGCAGCAACATCCTTTTTCTGCTTCTTTTTTCAATGGTGGTTTTTTCTTCTTAGGGGTTTTCTTCTTCTTTGGTGCTTTATTCTTCTTCACCTTCAATGGTCCAGCGGTATCATCTTGTGGTTTCTTTCTGTATACACACATATTCCAGTTACGTGCCATGATAAATGAAAAGAATACAAATGACAGAAGATCAGTGAAATTAATGTTAACCTTTTATTTGTGCTAGCAGTCTCACCATCCTCTCCAACCATTTCAAGCTTGCAAGTCTTGGAGAAAGTGGCCAAAATCTCCACACCTTTTACATCTAACTTTCTTTTTGTTAGCCCTTTTCTCTATGCACCCTTTTTGCCTCACAACCTTTGGTCGACCTGCTGCTCTTCCTAGTAATGGTGGGAAAACCTTGTACCCAAGATCAATTTATGGCCATTGGGATCTGTCTGGCATTGGTTCTACTCTACCTTCATAGGCAGCTCTAGACTTAGCAACAGAGTAATAATCATGCACAAAGTCAGCTACCTGCATACCTCTGTTGGACAAGATCCAAGCCAAGGCATGCTTGCATGGCTTGCCAGTTACCTGCCATTTCCTGCATGAACACTTCCGATTCTTAAGATCAGTTGTGTGCCGTTTATGGCTATTCCAGTCATCTAGCAGTGTTACCTCTGCAAATTCATCATCACTGACTTTAACCTTCACAACTTTCAGATTTTTGCTTATAAGGTTCAAGTCATTCATGACACCAGGAAGGATTCCATCTCCCCATTTCTATGCAATCTTCTTCCTTATGTACCTTTTCTCCATTATCACATCTCTTATCCTGTCAACTAACTCATGGATATGCAGTCCTTGATCTGAGCATTGAAGCTCTCGGAGACATTATTAGTTAAATAATCACAATTACTTTCCTCAGAGAAGCGACATCTGTACCATATCCTAGGATGATGCTCCTGAAGGTATGTTAGCATCATGAGTGCCTAATTTTGTTGCATCATCAGGAGGAACCACACAGAGAGGCTCTAGTGCATCAAGCTCATGTTCCACACAAATTGAACTATCAAGTACACCTACTGTAACCTGGCAGGTCATCTCCTCCTTATACATTTCAAATAAATCAACCATCTCAGTATCTCATCAACTAGTCGACATCCTCATTCAATCTTTTGTCAAAGAACCAAGCAGGTGGGTGTGCGGTTGGTGCACGATTCATTCAGGTTGCGGATGTTTCAACAAGTCTAGTGTTAGTGACCCACACTCCACATCCCACTTAAACACTTGGCCTTTTGTATATGATTTCTACTACCGTCGAGTCTTTGGAAGCAAAAGCTTGACTTTAACCTCTAGCGCATAAACATCCTAGCCCTAAGAAGCGATAAATTCATCCCCAAATCAAAGTGTACATGCACAAATCATCGAATAGCAACTAATCGCCAACCGTGTTGACCACACGGAGGCGAAGGATGAAAAGGGTACTCTTGCCATTGTCTTCCATCGCCATGAGGCGCGATGATGGGCGCGCACGGAGGCGCTAAGCTTGAGCTCCCCGCCATCAGGGTGCCTCCATCACCTCTAGTGGACGCGAGGTTAGGGTTTGTCTTCGTTGCCACCACCTCCAATCGCCGCCACCAACCACGCATCGATTCACCACCGCCGCTCACGCCTGGTTTGCCGCAGAAAGACCTAGGGTTAGGGTTTGGTCGGAGGGATGAAGGGAGAAGAATGGATGCCAGCTGCTTTGCCTTATCCAATTGAACATGGGCAATACGGTCCTATACGAGAATACGCCGCCTGCCAGTGGGCCTAGCTTCGCGGGAGACGTAGATCAGGGCATGGATGTGTTGTATCAAGAGTTGTAATGGCAAGTTTCCAATAAGAAGAATAGTAATGGCGTTCTTCAAAACTTGAGAAATTGTAATGGCAAGAATCCAAATATCCCCAAAACAAAAGGAAACCTCCCTCCCGTGATTTGGCCGCCTGGCTGTTTCGCGACACCACCGATCTTGCACGGCCATCATCGCCATCGCGCGGGCACCCTCATCCTTGCTCCACGGTCCACGCGCGATCGGCCACCGTCGTCCGCATCCGCCGCTCTAAATCATCATCCTCACCCCCAGCTCGTCGCGCCGCCGCCGCACGCCGCACGAAAGCCGGCGAGGAGGCCATAGGGCGCCGGCACCAACGAGGCCATGGCACGGTGGGAGACCACGACGTAGGCTGACGACAACGGGCGGGCGGAAGTACGATATGGCCCAGCCTCGGTGCGCCCGTGCGGGGCAGCCGCCCGCGCCGGAATCAACTACGGCGGGACAGTGGCGCGGCACGCGGCAGCGACGACGATGGCGCAGTTGTTGGTGCAAGCTCCAGCGATCTTTCAAAGGTGAGTCTCCATACCCCGAATCAATGATTTGAAATCCCTAAGCAACATCCTTCTTCGTGTCCTGCTGCTCGATCTAAATTCCTTAGCCTCTCTGTCGTACTATGACCCAGATGAGAGATTTGGTAGGAGCAGCCGTGGCCGTGGAGTAGTGGTGGTGGTGTCGTCGGAGGGAGTGGGACCTATCGGCTGATAGGAAATGGCCCTTCCAAATGCTGAAACGCATGATGAGAGTGCTGGTTCACAGAAGTTTTCGGTTAAGCTGCTGTCAGAGAACCCTGCTGATGTGCTTTGCTAGGTGCAGACGTACATTAATGATTATCGTGGTATTAGTTTTTCTATTACTGGTATTTACTAGTAAGAGCAACCTTTCTAAACCTCACTCTCTAAATCATCATTTGGAGAGCTATTTGCATAAAAATCGTTTTCTATATCTTTTGACGCTCCAACAATTTTTCTATATCTCATACGCACTCTAAAGAGAATGTCATTCTCGTCTTCTATATTTGGCTAGCGAAAAATCCGGAATAGAAAATTGCTATATTTGGATGAGAAACTGTTGAAGGATAGTTGTTCACCAAAATCTCTATTCCTAACGTTTAGGAAAAATATGGAGAATCTCTTGTAGATGCTATAAGAGGTAAAAAGTAAACAACAAGAGATATAGACAAATAGAGACAGAC